ATAAGGACAAATGTTTTGTTATGGGACCAAATGGCAAATGCTCTTCCAGATGCAAGAAGTCTCAATCTGATTGCTCCATCCGTCTCGGAGTAAGAAACAACACAACATTTTTCTGTTTAAAAAAAAAAACGAGTAAAAAATGACAAATCGCAAAAATTCTTGATAGCAGGATCACCGAGGGAACATGGTCTACAAGATGCAACAGGTTTCATTCTGATTGGTCAAGCCGTAATCGGCGAATATACATAATCAAAAGTACGGTTTTTTGGCAAAAAAACGGGTAAAAAATGACAATTCACAAAAAGTTGTGATAATGGGTCTGCCCGGGGGGCATGCTCTACAAGATGCAACAGGATTCATTCCGATTGGTCAAGCCATCTCGACGTAATCGGTGAACAGACATAAAAAAAAAAACATGTCGAATTGAGTAACCTCCTCCTTTTCGAAGTCGGTTAAAAATTAGAGAAACGATTTGGAAACTATAAACTTTTATTTGGTTGTAATTATCATGTTTCATACAATGAAGTAGTTAAAATGCAGAGAAAAATATTAGATTAAAACATATTTAAGAAATCGGCAAGATTCTTTTCTTTTACTTAAATCAAAAATAGATTTGAAATTTGTGATAACGATAATAATCTTCGTGATCTTTCCATTGATGTAACTTGTTTTCTGAGAATTTTTGAAACAATATTTATCCACTTGTGTTGTTGATTATCCCATTAAAATTTACATATCTGGTTATAGGTCCCATTCTACTGCTAAAACATTAAATTGTAATATATGTAAATTATTAATTGTGGAAGATAAAAGTAAAACTATTGACAACAAATATTTTGATACATTTTAATGTTTCCTTACAAAGAGGAGGCCTTTCTGTTCCTATAGAAGAAGTAATGACCGTATTCAGTCATATGTATGCCATAATGGAAGCCATAATTAATGATGCTAACTTGAAGTTTCAATTTGTTAAATGTGAAAATCATACACATATTTTATATAAATTGACATATATTAGCATTCAAACAGATATTCATTATTTTGCATTTTCCGATTATGATTGAAAAAGGTAACGCGCCATGGGAATACCCCTAGGGTGATGAAGAAATTTACCTGCAACACACTCTTGTAATTAACTGCACAATTCTTTCCTTGGGTAGTTTCCCTCCATCTCTTCTACGTGTTCACTTAAGGGGATAGACACGGGTAATGCAGCGCTCTGTAAACCGAGAAAATCTGGCCCGAAATATGGGTTAGCTTTGCCCACAGATTTTGTCCTTATATGAGCATATTTTGGGCTCAATGAGGGCTCATTCGAAATAGGAAGGTCCAAGGAATGGCGCTCTGGCCGTGGTTGAACGATAGTGTGTCGATATTTAATAATATGAGCGTCCAAAGTCGAGCAAAAATCGAGCAAAATACATCCGCAGAATAGTTGTATTTTTAGGTTACTAAAAGGATTTTGTGACTCAAACGACGACTAGAGCGCCATTCCTTGAACCTTCCTCTTTCGAATGAGTGTGAGAGGAGGAAAGAGGAGGAGGGAAGAGAAAGAAAGAGGAGGTTAGGGAGGAATCCATTATGGAGGTCCCTGAAATACCACCTAAAATGAGCAAGGTGGGCATGAGATTGTACCCGGAAAATCATAGGGGCATTGCCTCAGTGATAATACGAATTAAAAACGAGTATATAAAAAAAAATAATAAGGAAAATCTTATCCTAATGACCAAAGAGGATTTTAAACAAAATGTTAGTGCATATGACCTAAAAGCATCTGGTTTTAACAAAGCAGAGGTGTCTTTTTATAACAAAGACCAGGGTAACAAATTTATGGAAAAGATAACAGAGAATAATGACAACAATATAATAGAAGCTTTTATTCCTCTTCATAAGTTGGAGAGAAAAGGATTAATAAAGGATTTTTCTTTAGATTATGATATATAGGATATAGTATTATATGCCAAATTATCGGCTAAAATTCTGTTTGTGAGAAGATTAGAAAAAATGGTAATCGGAGAGAATAAGAATGAAAGAAAATGGTACCCCAGTGAATCAGTGGTAGTGACGTTTGAAGGTGATGTCTTACCAGAAGATATTAAATTGTATGGGTTATACAGTGTGAAGGTTCATTGCTTCATCGAACCTATTAAAAACTGCACCAACTATTGGAACTATGGTCACTCAAAGGGAAAGTGTAGAAAGAGAACTATGTGCATTTGCAATGGAGAAATTCACCTTAAAAGTGAAGCCTGCGGAAGCAAAGAAAATGTCAAAAAATGTATCCATTGTACGGAGGAACACTACACATTTAATGGACAATGCCCAGAATTCAAGTTTAATAAAGAAGTGAATGAATATAGTATAGTATGAATATAGTATAGTATGAATAATGTAAGCTTTTTTCAAGCCAAAGTAGCAATTAAAGAAAAATAATTTTCCCCAAAAATCCAAATAACAAAGAAAGATTTCCCAGAGCTGACCAAACTAAGCCCACAAAAGACACTGGAACTAAGAAGAATGGGAGGAACCACACCAAAGATTGATCAATCTGAAAACAATTGGGGTAGAAACAACATTAAGACATACACCAAAACTAAGGGTACTATACATCAATAACAAGCCCTATTAAAAAACCAGTACAAATTAAGTTGCTGGACACTAATCTCACAGGAGAAATGTCTGAGTCAAAGAGGAAGACAAAGAAAATAATATATAGTAATAATGAAAAAGAGATTTCGAAGGAGTGGTATGGTCTTGTACTAAGGCACCGGGAGAGAAACATAGTAAAGAATAAGGAGGCAAAGGACAGTATATATCAACCAGTGATAAATGTACGGAAGAAACAACTACATCCTGAAGAGGAGGAGAGGATATTGAAAAATATACCTAGGGACTCAATATACTCTCAGATGATAATTGAACAAAATGACTCAGAGATAGAGATAGATCAGAATGATAATAACGGCTATAATAAGAATGAAAATAATCAAGACTCTTATCTGTACAAAAGCGAATCATCTAAGCAATTAAGACATGACACAATCAATTAAAATTATATTTTGGAATTGTAGGAGTATCAGAAATAAAAGGTCAGAAATAGAATATCTATCTAAAGCAGGCATGCACAGAAAGTGCGCCCGCGGGCGCTGGGCTCTCACTCTTCAGTGAACGGCGGGCGCTGGGTCCCCACTCCTTAGTGATCCGGTACACTGTGACTCTAAGAGTGGGGGCGCCTGCCACAACTACAAGCTTACTTCCAATAGCCTCACGGGTCCCTTAATTTTCATGAGACTTATACAATAATTCCTAATACAGATTCGTGGTTAATTCATTTCGAGTTTGTCGCTACAATATTTATATTGTACGATATAATATACATATACATATATATATATATTTTTAAAGCTTTCTGTAACTAATGCATACCAGTTCGAAAATACAAGATAGAATTTACTGCTTATAGACAAAAACCAGCGCTTGCCGCCGCTATTCCTTGCTGCGACTCCCTGTATCTGTGTATTACACACACAATGCACCGTCTCCACTCCTCTATCTTGCTTCCCACTATGTCTAACTTGCTGTCCGCTACTTTCACCTTTTTCCCACTCTGCTGCTGAAGGCATTCTGACCTTGAACGAACACGCGGGTTCGACTCGCGCCACCAGACGAACACGCGCCCGCCAACCGGGGTTTTGTGCATGCCTCATCTAAAGGAACAGATATAATAATATGTGTGGAATCATGGTTGAAACCAAAGGACGAGTTTGAACTGAATAGTTTCAACGTGGTCAGAAAGGATAGAATAAGAAAAACAGGAGGTGGAGTTATTATGTTTATAGCAAAAAGCCTTAAACATAAACCAATAGATGTAGAATTAAAGGACGAGAACGCTCAATCAATAGGAGTAGAAATAACCAATCTGAAGCAAAAGTTGCAGGTATGCTCAGTTTACAGAGCACCAGGGCAACCTCTAGTAAGGAAGGAATGGGAAAGATACGTTCAAGATATTAAAAAATTGGGGTCACCTATATTAATTGGAGATTTTAATGCTAAAAATGTAGCATGGAACTGTGACATATCAGATGATGCTGGAATAAAATTACTAGACATCATGGAAAGACATCAAATGGATGTTATTAATTTTAATACCAAAACATATATCAATTTAAGAAATAATAGCTTTAGTAACCTTGACCTTATATTTTCAGACTCAAAGATTACAGATATGATTGAGCATCTCCAAGAAGAAGAACCAATGGGTTCTGATCATTTTCCCATAAGAATAGACATTAATATGGAAAGGAACATTTACAGGAAAAAGACAAATAAAATATCCTCGAAAAGGACAAATTGGGAAGCGTACCGAGAAGAAATGGATACAGCTTATAATAGTTTACTAGAACCGGATACACCTATTTTAAAGAAATATAAAAACTTCACAGAAAAAATGATTGAAGCAATAACACCCCAGCCAGAAGAGAAGTGAAAAATAAGGTTCATAGGAATCCAGTTACATGGTGGTATGAGGAGTGCAATAAGCATATAAGGTTAAGAAAAACTGCCTTCAAACGGTGGATGTGCAATACAACTTTTAATAATTGGATTTTATATAAAAAACAAACACCAAATACTAAAAGAGTTTTACAGAAAAAGAAAAGGGATAGTTTTAAGTCATTTGCTGCGAGTATTAACTTTAGAACATCCTTAACTTACACGTGGAATAAAATCAAGATGCTCAAATCAAAATGGACTAAAATTAACAATAAGGACACGATAACAACAGAAAATAGACAAGGTATTATAGAAAACTATATACAAAAGTTAAGTCCACCATGGGTCCCAGTAAACCCAGTGTTTAATTTGAATGTAGAAAATAATGAATTTTTAGACGACATGTTCAGTTTTTTTGAGCCGAACGTGGCTATCAAGAAAACAAACCTGGAGTCGTCTCCAGGAATGGAAAGATAGAATACAAAATGATCCTCTTTGGCTTCGTACAAACAATTTTGTCTATTTCACGTTTGTATTAGATTATAATATTTCTTATCAATTTGCAAACACTTCAATTTGGTCCAAAGAAGGTTTTATCTTCCTTCACACTTATATTTTCTTCAAACCACTGTTAATATTTCAAGTTTAATGCATCATAACATCAAACTACTTTTAGAGTCCATCAAATTTATACTATATTTACAGATATTAATATACTTTTAAACTACTTTTACTTTTACTATAGTCATAATATTTATATCCCACTTTTACATAATTAATAACAAATGGTGTACATTGGTATAGTTTTCTATTAAAAACAGTGTTAATTATGATACGAAGCACAAAACTCTCACATTGGAAAATAGGACTCTCGATCTGGACTTGAGCGGTGTTGCCACGTTTCTCAGCATGGCTGGTACAAGAGTTGGCTGTGGTACTGGTAATATTGTCAGCCAATTTCCGATCGCACCCTAAAAACTAACTAACCTAGTTACAACTATTGAGCTTGTTGCGAACCGCGTCGTGCGGTGATAGGGAATTTGCTGACGTGGGTAAGGTGCCCGTGGAGCGCTGAACCGTTCTGCTTAAAATTCGAAATACTTTTAGGAAAAAAGTAAAGACGTTTATTCAGTCGACTAGTTTGGTTTAAACCGTTTCGTAGTTCGTTACCAGAGGTTCGATTACGATTGAACTCTCTGGAAAAATCTTCGCTTGATCTGCTGCTTCTCTCCCTTCTCCGGAAGATTCCCGATTCTCCCTTCGGGTTGTCCTGGTCCAATCGGGGGTTGCGCCCTACTCCTTCTATCGGTGATCTTCATCGATCTCGGATCCACCCCCGAGTCGGGTGGATGTGGGAGTCGCGCGGCCATGTTTGTGCAGGGCTACACGTGAAAAGGGAAAGCGCGGAGGTCTAGAGAGAGAGAGAGAAAACGCACCAGCGAGACACAGCAACCTTTAAGGAAATTTATTACTATTTATTTATAGTTTGTTATTTTCAAGGATCTTACGAGCTGGAACAAAAGCTAACTCGATTCGAATTCTAAAGAAATGCATTTCAACGGAAACGGCGATTCGACACGGCCTATAATGAATCTATTAAGTATTTTCAGCGAACGTTCCCTTTTCTCTCCTGACTTTTGACTTTCCCACGCTTGATCACCCACGTTGAATGTTTTAACAATGTACGTGGCGGTTCGTTGATTCAATGCGTTAATCCATTTGAATTCCGTTCCTAATTTGAATATAAATATATACTACATGCGGTAGTGTTTAAGCTATTCCGCGTTGTGGCGCTACATGCCATGAAGCTAAGTTCACGTGATAGCGTAACAAGCTCTATCCTAACTGGAGTGTGAACTCCTGTAGGAAGAAGTAGAGGCGACGGAGATCCGAGAGAAATGCAAAATGGGTGGTTCCAGTATTATCCTATAGCAAATTTATTTGTAGAGGGGAACAAACATACGCCGTAATATAACCTACCCGAGCATCGCTGAGCATTGTCGAGTGAGTTACTTTCAGATTCTTTTCCGCATAAAATTGGATAAATACAATATAAATTGAATTGTGACAAATAATAAAATTTAGCTCTATTCCAAATTGTATATATTCGTATGATCTAAATTATGGTATGTAAATTATGTATACTATTTCATTATTATGCCATTATTATTAATGTTTCTATCGTTTTATATATAAATAAAAAGGAAATAAAGTTCAAATCTGTACATAATTAATCTGTAAATAATTCCTAGTGCCGCGAAATTCAAACAAAGATGAGTCTGTTCTCCCTCCACACATAAATTTGCTATAGGATAGTACCACCAGAACCTTCGACCATATATACATGGACTGCTCAAGCCTACTCTTTATACACTGAGCAGAGCGTAACCAACATCTCCATACCAAAAGTGAAAATTGACGCTAATGCGCATGCGTCGAAGTCGAGAACTATATCAAAAATTCCATCTCGATGACAGGCTGACTGCAACTTTGACCAATGGTTGAAGAGTAGTTCCTTTGAGTACATAGACATATACTCAATATACATTTCTATATACATTTCTATATTTCTGTATACTCAAAGAGTAGTTCGGCAAACCGTCCAAAATTTCAATTCGCGCCTTTCCCCACTACACTATAGCTTGAGCAGTCCATGTACGTATGGTCGAAGACCGGAACCACTCATCTTGCATCTCTCTCGGACCGGCTTCTCTCTCGCAGTTCACACTCCAGTTAGGATAGAGCTCAATGGTTACAACTATAACGCGCGGCAGCACTGTCGACATCATGTCGCCATAATATCACTAAACTATATAGTGTATATACTATAGTTTAGTAGTCCACAGTGGTCTGCATGCACGTAAATTTTGATATTATTGCATTACCTACAAAAATTGTAATTCTTATAAAATAATAATGGGTATCGTCAATGATAAACCAATTCAAGCAGCATCAATGGAAACAGGAAAAAGCGATAAACCTCTCAAACCTTGTTGCGCTTGTCCCGAAACGAAAAAAATAAGGGATGAATGGTACGTAATTTATATGAATTCTTTAATTGCTTATTTTCATATATAAAATATATTTACAAAAACGTTACATGTGATAGTAATAGTTAAATGAATTCTTTAATGAAATTCTATTAAAAAATTAAATTCGTACAATGTTGATCAGTTGACTTATCGGATATTTTAATACATAACCTCTTGAAAAACATTTCAATTGAACCATAAATAATGATTTCTGATTACATCAAACGTTTCATTTTTCAGCATTATAACTAAAGGCGAAGAGAGTTGTGGTCATCTAATAGAAGCGCATAAAGCTTGTATGCGATCATTAGGATTTAACATATGAATGCAAAGTTTATATATTTATATTTAGAAAATATTAATAAATGCTCAGGTTTGATAGATGTATTAAGGTATTTAGATTGTATAGAGTAGCTAAGTTAAATTATACCAAAATCATTCTAACACATTAAATACTGCATTTTACAAATAAATAATTTAATTTGTATCAAATATATAGTTTATTTAAATATCCTACATAAACAAATGTTATGTAGAATCAAATGTTTAGTCGTGGAAAGTAACATGCATAATGTAAATGGTATAAAACAATCATTCGGGAATTGGGAATTCTAACAAAGCATATATTTTCATTTGATGTGTGGTTAATACGAAGTTCCTTTTTACACTTGCGTAACAATTCCACAGCTTGATTTACCTGAACACTCTGAAATGATTAACACATCCTTAGTTTGCATACAGCAAAATTCAATACAAGTAAGAATTGTCTTATATCTTTGCTGTCAGTCATAATTATTGCATCTGGTCCTACCGAGCAGAAAGACAATTTTCATCTGATTAGTGCATAAGTTATGAAAACTATAAAACAACATACATCTTTATAATAATAAACATCAAATTTCTCAATAGTCTCAAATATTTTTAACTATAATAAATACATCTTATATATATCAGTACAATTCATGAGATATAATAAGAGTGATAATAATAATAACAATAATAATAATAATTTACTAAATCATATAACTTCTCAAGTATAGTTTACAAATAACAAGTAAATGGACTGTAGTTACTACCTTTTCTTCTTTTCGGTCACAGCATTGCACTTAACTTACACGCTAAGGTATGAGTAGCCTTAAATTAATTGAATAGTTAAATAGAATATTTGTAATTAGTATGAAAGTAGTTGTACTTTATGTATGAGTGAGTGAAATATAATTTAACAAAGAATGTGCAAGTATGTGTATACGTATATATAGATAAACGTATATAGAATATATGGAAATACGTCGTTTATTCTTGTAGACACTCCAAAACTATATAAAAACAACGATAATGAAAATGTATCGGAGAATAATTTCTGTAATCGTATATAAAATTTTATCGTACTGCGCGTCGTATCATTATTGGTAGTTTTATATTGACTAAAAATTGACAACAAAGTTTGTTAAAAATTTAGAGTACATGTAGAGTACTACAAGTGAAAGAAGGTAAGTACGGACATTGTTGATTTCTGTAATGTTTCGACTGTCTGGAGTGCCTCCAAAAATATTTATAATCGGTGATTGATTAGCATTGAATCGATAACAGCATCACAGCTACGAAAGAGTTTTGTTTTCCAAGCTCTGCTATGGCTTTTTCGCTGATGCAACCGACCGGCGTAGGACGATTGGTCGACTGAAAATTAGCACAGCCTGTTCGGTGCGACGAAAATTGAGCAGAACATTGTGGACAAGAAATGGCGATCGAATTAGCTCTATCATTTAGATACTCCATCGCTAAAACTTTCATTCCCAAGCACACATCGTAATATAGTATTTTCAGAGCTGATCATTGTTTAAAATAAAAGATCGACATATAGACACTTTCTTTAGAAATTACAACTTTTGTGGTTTCTCATTGTTTCATTTCAGCTCCAAAACTTTCAACTGCGACGCAGGCTTAGGATATACACGATTGAGGAGCCAGTCAACTTATGACGGCTAAAAGATGCAAGAATATATCGTTAAATAATATTTCTGTAATTACTACGGCGGAGCAAATCCTCCTAATGATAAAACCTAGAACATTGCGGTCAGGTAACTTTAAGGATGCTGGACAAAATTGGTTTCAGGCAGTCTATCGTCTTTCCACAAGATTTGACTCTTTTTCGGGTCAGCAAATCTCACCTATCTTGGGGTACGCGGATCAAACGTAATACTTTGCTTTGCTGAAAAACGTCCAAGTTTGATTGTTTTACATTATGCAACAAGCTTCCATAAACGATTAGTTAATAGATAAGAAACGTGCAAAAGTTTCTTACTTGATACTCTAATTCGGTTTCCATGATACCGGTAACTGCAACGACTTGATACTGCCTTGCTTTCATTGCTGCGATCGATTTTCGTACCAAACGCATTGCACCGAGTGCACTACTTGTGCTATTAAATTGTGCCATTTGTGCTGGACTATGACTTGGATCAAGTACTAACATAGTTATCGAACCATCTCTTAATTGCTCTACTCCTATTATTGTTCTACTATGACCTGCAAGAAATAGTCAATGTTCATATATAAACTTTATTTCTGTCTTTCAATTTACAATTTCTAAACACGTACCTTGATGCTGTAAGTAAAGGGGTGGCTTAAAATCATCGCACCGTTGAAAATATTGTAAAACCCAATTAAACATTTCAGGATGTCCACCGTCAGAATTAGTTGGCCTATGAAAATCTACCAGCTGACACCTAATAATACCAATGATAGTAAAAATTATATATAACATGATCGCGAGAAACTATCGTGAAAATTGTAAAACGTACTTTATTCTCAAACTAGAAAATAATATGGCTACTTCTGTGGGGCCAATCCATTTCCTAGTGTTCACCAATTTCCCGCCTAATTGCTCAGCTCCTTGAGTATCGAAACCCTGAGCCCAAGCCCATTCTATCATTTTCTGAAGTCTAGAGATAGACGGTATAGAACTTCGGAGCGGATTCTTGGTAGAACTACCGCTACCCAGACCAGAACTCCACGCTTTATAAACTAACTCATTGTACCCTGTATGTTGTAAAAGCGACGAAATTAGCATTTGTAAATTTCTATAACCACATCCCCAGCCTTTGTCTCCGTAAGTAGTAGCGTAATGATCTACAGTGGAACACATCCAGGTGCTCAACATGTTGCTACATGCTTGACTGACAGCTCGTATCTTGGGAACTAGACCTGTGGAAAATTGGAACAATAATATATGGTACTCTTAAAAGAAATTTCTGGAAATACAATTATTACCCCGTGTACAGGAACTGCCATCGTCTATGCCACTACTCTCTGCTACTCTGAGTTCGCTTTGCCTTTCGTAATAATCTGCAATCGTCATTTCACCAGAATACACAGCCCGCTGCATATTAGTGACGCTTTGTTCTCTAAAATTGCCCTGATTATCCATTCCGTATTGTGCTCTTAGCATTTCGAATTCTCGCTGTTCGCGTAATTTTCTAACTTCTTTCTCGCGCCTTTCCATATCCTTTGCTAACAATCTGTCAGTGGACAAATCTGGAGTTATAGGAGATGGAGTACTTTTTTTGCTGAAATGTTCTTCGATGTGTGCAGTTAACTCGTCATTGCTTTTAAACGACGTACTAAAACAAACTGGACATGCAGTAGCATCGCTGCCAACGGTTGCTAAATCAGATTGCGAAGCTGCACCATTCGCAGGGCTACAAAGAACAGAGAGAGTTTGAAATATAATTCATTGTTGTTAATAGGATGTGTATAGGTAAATATAGTTTTACCTTAAAATGTCTTTATGTTCTATGTTGACGTGTAGCTCAAGATCAGAAGAATTAGGGAAAGACGTAACGCATAGGGGACAATTGAAGATACCGTCACGCGACGGTGGAGATTCAGGTGGAAAGGACGGCGAAGTGAGATCGAAATGTTGTCTATTGATATGCTCTTCTAGCCTCAACGGACTATCGGAACTGAATGGGCACATAGGACACTCTTGAACTGGAAGCTTTGGCGAAGCATGAGAACGTAACTGCAGATTTAGGCCTGAACGCAGCGGAGAACCATGACCAGCTGCTCCTTCTATTACTGAAATAAAATCTTTCATCGTTTTACGTATTCCAAATTATAAAATTATTGCTCTATTAAACTTCTTGATACCATTATTAACATTTCCAGTGTTGTTATTATTATTGTTATTATTCACATTAGAACTAGAATTCTGTGGCTCTGACTTTGGTAGTTCCTGCTGGTGTTTAACACGAGGACTGGACGAACTGCTCCATCCATTTTGTAGAAGAGGTGGGCGTAGAGACATAGATGGAGAAGGACCACGACATTCGTCGTGCCTATGATCGTCTACCAACGAATCATCGTCAATAAATGCCATCATATCATGCTCCGGGGTACTACGACAATCGAAAGACACATTATTATTTAAAATGTTTGAATAAATTGATAAGTAGATATATGTACAAATAAAATAATTGTTTAATACATTTTATGGAAGAGAGTTACTCTACACTTTGTGTTACACTTTCCAATATTTACAATTTTGTATATAATAAATTTGGACAAGGTAAGTTAGAGATAAATAATTGTATATAAAATATCACTGAAATATGTACAATGAGACAGATTTTCAACAATGTTTTTTCATTCAATAAATTAGAAATTTTCTTAGGTCTAGGTATGATTTAACAAGTATAGTCTTCAATTAAGAAAAGCCAGAAAAAATAAATAAAGAGGATGTTTCATTTTCACTTTTTAACCTTGACTCATTTCCACACTTCCAACTGTATTAGATTAATATATACTAGCGAAAATTACTATCATAAATACTGGTCGGCTTTACAAGAAACAAACTTTGTAACGTACAAAAATAGCGACATCTGAGTCTGCCCGTTGCCGCCATATTTCACGCGGCCAAAATTATTCAAACGTCTTAAGTATGATTTCGTTAGTAAACTATTGATTTAATTTAATTAGTACTTGAAATTTCATGTAATTCCATTTTTCAATTTCTTTAATCTTACAGCATGAATATATATCTAAGTTACTTTAGAATGTCTGAAATTATTTAAATAATTTAAGTTTGAGTCTTACATATTTAGATACTAAATAGAATTTATATAAATGTGAATGATAAATAAAGACAATATATATATATATATATATATATATATATATATATATGTTTTTAGTCACATTGATATTTACCCATTTTTTAAATTATAAGTCATTTTATTATGATGTGTTTGTATCATGTAATAATAAATAAAATCAGTAGAGTACATATATATCTTTAGTTACTTATGCAAGTATTTACTTATTTATTGCTCGCAAGTATTTTTTTCTCAAGTGCTTGTAACGTGTTGTAAAAAATAATATTAATTAAACCGTCATCCAATTAACAATCACAATAATATTAATATATACCGAACAGACTCCGAGCACGTGATTTTTCTCGTTCGTTACAAATTATACTTTGCATAAAGTAAAATCACATGGGTGTCCAAGAGTTAAACAACATAAACAAAGTAGAAGAAACTGAATGCACGTTATCGCGAAATCTACCTTGGTGTCAAGTAATCCAGATGAGCACTGTTAACATGAGCCAACATTTCCGTTGGCGAGATCTCCCCCAAATCGCAAAATGGACAATTCGCTGCTCCTTGGAGATGATAGAACACCATGTGCGACCTCATCTCCTCGTCGTTGAAGCCCTCTAGGCCGCAGATTTCGCACGTGTAATTCATTTCAGGTGGTTTGGCCGCCATTTTTATTACATACAATCAACACCTGTCGACCTTTAATGAGAAGAGGAAAATTATTAAATCTGCACGCGCACAAACTGTGTCACGACGATGCAATCGAAACAAACCCGATTCACGAAGTGAACAGAATTTTTTAAACAAAAACGAACCAACGAAAGGGCGATATTTTAAACGATGCAACTAGTACGCGGTGCATCTCCGAGAATTGCATTTATATCCGCGCATTGTGGCACCATGGGAGAACGCATCGGAGCCAGCTGGTCTGGGCGAAGCGACTCGTGCGAATACATCGAAAACGCATCGTGTTGGCGTCGGGTATTTTCTTCAGGGAATCGATAATTGAATTCAGGGTCGCGTACAAGTATCCACGATCACACCCGTTAGGCTAGGTGTCCACCGAGAATTTTACTCTCGACGCTTGTTATCAAGAGTGAAACATGCAAAAAAAGAATAGCGGACACGGCGTCAAGGGTAAGGGTTCTTCCACACGGGTTCGTGGGGACCGAACACATTAAGACACCTCCTAATCGAAATTAGCAAACTCTCGTTTTCATCTGTACTATACAAGTTTAGTTAAAGATAAACAATTTTAGATTTGTCTTTTGTTCAATGATAGTTTGGCCGAACAGTTCGGTTGGATTTTAACGTATAAATAAACAGTAATTTTTCTTATAAGGGAAGGTCGCGATCCGGACGAGCGCTTTTTGAACGAGACCGGGCTTAAATGATGGAGGCTGATGGGCACAAGAAAAGTGCATAACATTAGGGGTATCTGGCCAGCCGTTCTTATAAAAATGGCTTTAAACATTTACAGGTCACTAGAATGTAGATATACGAAAGCATTCAAATTCTCGACAGAAGCTGTTGTAGCTGTGAGCGTTACGGCGCAGGTTCATTTTCTAAAGTTTGTGGGTTAGAGACTCGGCAATGACAAAGGTTTTTTTTTCTCCTACTGCATTTCTTATTCCCATTTTTTACTTACTGCTATATAAATAATATATAAGAACTATAATACTCACTGCTATATAAATAATGTATAAGAATTTTAAACTATAGGATGTGGACTACAATTTTTAACAATACGTTTTTTATTAATAATATTATTAATATTAGGTAGACTGGAAAGTTATGTCGTTTTTTCAATTTGAAATACTTGTTTATCACTCACTAGCTCATTGATTTTTATCGATCTGGCATTCCAAATTTTTACACTAAATGGCAAAAGGCTGTTGATAACGAGGGCGATTACATAATTGATTAAAAAAAGAGAATTTATTAGAAATTTGTTTGAATTTAATGTAAAATAAACGACATTACCTTCTAGTCTACCTAATATTAATATTGATAATAATTTATTAATAATAAATACGCCACATCCTATACATTTGTATGTTTACTTCTACTATTGCTATATTATGTATCGCATGTACTCATTATAATATTATGTTCACATCTATATTGATTGCAATTTCTGCGCACGTATATATTCAGTAGCCAAATACATAATTATTAAAAAATGAATTTTATTTTAATAAACGCTTTAGCCACACATTGTTATTAATACAAAATAAATTAATTAATAAAAAACGTGTTATTACAAATTGCAGTCAACATCCTATACTTTATAATTCTTATATATTAAGTTGTCCCAAAAGTTTCTTCCGTAACATCCACTCAGTTATTTTGTCTAGTAATGTTTATATAAATAGACAACCTACTTTCTGAGACGTTAATACCAGAGATGTTTGTAACAGTAATGGGGGAAAGTGAATCGTATGCAATTCAATAATGTAACATTAGACATAAAATATCGTGTATGTATGTATTATTAATGAAATGGAAGAAACTTTTGTAACAACCTAATATTATTTATCTAACAGTGAGTATCATAATTCTTATATATTATTTATATAGCAGTGAGTATTATAATTCGTATATATTATTTATGTAGCAGTGAGTAGAAAAAGGAACAAAAAATAGAAATGCAGTTGGAAAAAAAAATTTCCATTGTCGAGTCTTGAACCCATGAACTCTAGAACATGAACCTGCGGGGTAACGCTCACAGCTACAAAAGTTTCTCTTGAGAATTTGAATGTTTTCGTATATCTAGTGCCCTATAAATGTTTAAAGCTATTTTTTATAAAAACGGCTGGTCAGGTACCCTTAATGTTTTGCACTTTTTTTTATGCCCATCAGCTCCATCATTTGAGCCCGGTCTCGTTTAAAAAACGCTCGTCCGGATCGCGACATTCTCTTGTTAGACAAAGAAATATATTTCTTCTATAATCTATTGCCATTTTGTTCTATGATTTTTCTCCATCTATTGAACTATGATTTTCCTAGTAATTATTCGAACTGTAGAGAGACAACAATCATCATAAATCAAATGAACTTTTTAGTGGAACCGTTAAACAAAATTATATCTCATTATATATCTCATTATTGCTTGCTTTATTGCTTTTTGATTTATCAGGGTACATAATCTTTACATAGCGATTATTGCACCTATTGTTTCAGTCACTATATATCTCGTTATATCTAAATTGATACATGCTACATATTTTCTTATTCGAAAGAAATTTTCTCGCACGAGGACGTCTCCGTTTGCTTGTGTGAGGGAGGTCTTATTCTCGATAGCAACTCCAGAGGGTGAAACTCTCATGTGGGCACTAGACATTAAACTTTTCGCGAATCGTTTCCGGATGCATTGTACTGCGACGCGTTTGATTTATCGGACTCTGCGTGTTGCGACCATATCCCCCAGAAATGGAAGACGTCCCAACAGTAACACAGCTAACAGTAACACAGCCACGTTCGTGGTTCCGCGTGTACGAGGAAATGCAACCGCGACCTCTTGTCAGAGATGGGTAAAATTTTCTTTCAACGATAACGAACGAAATTCAATACGACGATACGCAGCGATGCATTCAAATATATTAAAAATTGCCAAAGTTATGATTTTTTTACGCATAGCCTCTTTGCTGATTTTTGCTGATTTTCTTTCAACGATAACGAACAAAATTCAATACGACGATATGCAGCGATGCATTCCACCCGACAGTTCAATCCTTTTTTCCTCGAATTATTTCATCCAGTTTAAATTTCTGTTCCGTTTCTATTCTATTCTAATTGTTTATATGGGACTCGTGGGTAAAAATTTGTATCTAGATAAGAATTTCGCCCATCTCTAGCCCTCACTCCGCAAAGTTCGACAGTCGCGATAAGCTAGCGCGGCTCGCGAGTCAATCGATGCTTTCCCATGGACGAGGATCTCATCATTTGTTTTCTCGAAACGAGGCTCGGATTGGAAAACCGTCGACGACGATGGCGACGTCGAGGACGTCGAAGGGGGCGAACCGCGTGTGCGGTTACGATATATCGTTCGCGTCGAGGAGGAGGTCGCGTGTCTTTTCACTGGCCCTCGAGGTAACTAGGCCAACCAGTAATTCGCAGAGGAAAGGTAGCGCACACACGTTGGGTTGCTGGGTTGGGTTGACCCATTTAAGGCACTCTTGACTCGCGTTTTGCGAAACTCGAGCGTGAGTTCGGGTGTCTCGCCACTCACCGAATTGATCACGATTTTACGAGTGTTCCCGGTCAGGATGCGCCCTTTATTTTTCGACGACACTTTAATCCCGTAACACAGTTAGGCGTCCGTGCAGGCCGGGCTGCCTAACACGGCGCCTCGTTCGCCTCCATATGGACAGCGCCAACCCACCCCGACACTTTCGCGGAAAGAGTTTCTCAAGCCACCCCACTGTGTCCAACTATCCACCATTCGTCTCTACGGAGGGTTGCGCTTCTACAGCGGACCTCGTCGAAGGCGCTGCCGTCGCCACAACCCTCGCAAGACGCAACCCTCGCTTGCACGCGGTCGGTAACGCTTTCATCTAGCGGCGCGTGGTTTCTGGCCCGCTAGGTTTCCATCTGATTTCACCCTCTGCCATTAAGGGCTCTCCCAGGGATCAAATTTCCAACGTTTGACTCCAACCTTTGTACGGGTCTCTTGCTTCGAAATAGTTTCGTTCAACTTAGTCTTGGAATTTATTTATTTATTTATTTATTTTAATAAATAGATATATAATTTATTTAAAGGGTACTCTTTTATTTTGGGTCAAAAAAGGTTGAGACTTAGGTTGAGACTTAGGTTATGTGTATAGATACATTGCAATAGATATCGGTAGACTGCGGATGTTTATGTGAATTAATATTTTTATAAATACAGAATTGTTGCTCTTTTATGTAGTTTTACATTTGTTTTACATATTTTTACATATTCTCGTGGGTTTCTCCATATTTTCATTACCCATAAATAGATAAACATCCGTAGTGTAGCGATATACCTCGATACAATTGCAGGCTTGTATCCATGAGGACTGTATAAGGAGTCCTAACTGTGTAGTGTAGAAGTGTTATCAACATCCCGAGCTTGAAGTTATGAATATTTCTACCACTTACGGCGCAAGTGAGCACAGACTGCGATATACATTTGTATACAATTTATCTACAGATAATCTTCGGATTGGCCTGCACTTGACCGGCAGTCCATTTGTTATTGCAAAATACATACGAATTTTTTTAGGCTCTATCATCTATATATTAATAGATAATATATACACATATGACATATATATTATCGTAGTCTATGCGCACTTGCGCCGCGAGTAGACGAAATATTCATAACTTCAAGTTCGGGATTATGCTAACAGTTTTCTAGTAACTTTCTTAGGGAGTTGGATCTCCTTATACAGTCTTCATGCTTGTATCTATTACAGAGTCGGTTCCTTTTGGGTAGCGCAGTAAAAAAAAATCCTATTCCTTTTGCGATACTCTCAAAATTAATTATCAAAGTTAGGCCTTTTTCAGCCTCTAGGGTGGTGAGATGATCCCTTTACAAAATATGAATATCATTTGCGCATAGAACAATTAATTTCTAAAAGAGAAGCAAATAGAATTCAAATAGAAAATGGTCGAAAGGGTCTAAGGGTGCGCAGGAGTCAGAACAGAACTCCGAATTGACTTCAGCGACAGTCGCGGAAAAAATAGGAAACTCCGGGACAAGGATAGATAGATCCTTGTCTCTCCAATAATGCTGTGACAGAGAGAGAGCAATACAACAATTGCAGGAAAGACGAGGACAGGGCGATTAGGCTAGCATGATTTTTGTTCAATGATATTGAAGCAAAGAAGCAATATTTTCTAATAATTCTTGTTTTAATATACTCGTTACACTTTGGCGAATGCGACTCCGAGGCCTGATTTTGCAATTTCAGCATTAAAACTTTATAAACAATAAAAGTAATATCCGGAACTATTGAATCGAAAATTTAAAACTTTTTCAGTAATAGAAAGCTGTACTATACCTGAGTAACATACGCTATGTTTTACTAAGTAAAATTTACTTTGATAAAATACGTTTTTAACTTGAAATCTAAAAATTTCTGCTCTTGAATATATTAGATGTCGTACAAAATAAAATAATTTTTGGAAAAAAATATAACCGACATCGAAATATATTAAAATTGCACTAAAAGGTATGAAATAATTTCAAGTGAATTTATATGAACACTCACAAGCTTTAAATATACTTGCTTAAAAGTATGAGAAAATGCAGTGAAAAGTATGAAATAATTTCTATATTTAATATGCTATATTTAATAATTTAATCAAATTCATCAAGAGCTGGTGAGCGATCATGCAATTATGAATAGACATTATTTCATACTTTGCACTGCATTTTCTTATATTTTTAAGCAATTATATCTAGAGCTGGGAGTATTCATATAAATTAACTAGAAATTATTTTATACTCTTTAGTGCAGTCTTAATATATTTCGAAGTCGGTTATATTTTTTTCCAAAAATTATTTTATTGTGTACGACATCTAATATATTCAAGAGCAGAAATTTTTAGATTTCAAGTTAAAAACGTATTTTTATCAAAGCAAATTTTACTTAATAAAACATAACGAATGTTACTCAGGTATAGTACGGCTTTCTATTACTGAAAAAGTTTTAACTTTTCGATTCAGTAGTTTCGAATATTACTCCCTACATAAAAGCAAACAAACAAACAAACAAACTTTACTCTTTATAATATTAGTATAAATAAGGTTGTCTATTTATATAAACAACTGTGAGCAAGTCGCGAAAGGAACATTTAGACCTACCTAAAGTATAAAATTGGCACTCTATTCGTTATGATATTTCACCTGTTTTAGAAATCCCAGTTGGAACCTTGGAACATTTTTTAACGTGCCAAGATCGTGCGAGAAAGGATTTTACAACGCGGACTTTACTCGAACCGGCTTAACTCACTCAAGTGGTCGCAATGGTTATTAATTATCCAGAGAAGAGCATCGTTTAAACGGACGGCGTCGTCTGCGACTGACGATCTGTGTTCCAAACAAAATGTACTCTGATTTTCGATTTAGAAATATAATCTGTTTGACTTCCGGCGTTGTGGTCAAAAAATAAGATTGCTAAAAGCTCGATGAGTCGAGTAATTATTATTATTTTTAAACCAATGTTTCATTGATACTAAGTGTTTGATCCTTTTACACAATTTAACCTTTAGAGTGTCAATAAAGTGGTACAAAATGGAAGTAGGACAAATGTCTTTTTAAGCTTTTAAGAGGCAATGAAGCCCTACCAGATGCAAGAAGATTCAATCCGATTGGTCAATTCGTTTCGGAATAAGAAGCAATACAAAATTTTTCAGTTTTTTGCAAAAAAAAAAACGGATAAAAAATGAGAAATCCCAAAATTTGTTGGTAATAGGACCACCCCGAAGATATGCTCCACAAGATGCAACAAGTTTCATCCCGATTGGTCAAGCCGTCTGGGTGTAATCGAGTAACATACATAAAAAAAAAATGAATAACCTCCTCCTTTTCGAAGTCGGTTAAAAATAACCTATACGCGTTATAAGGAAACTCTGTCTCAAAAATACATTTATATAACTCTTGTGAAATTGTAATGTATTAGCTAATTTTTTATAAACAATGAATATATACATGTCCTCGAGTATCTCTCGAATGCATAGGTACAATGCAAAAAAATAGCTATTTGAATACTTTATATCATTAATAAGAATAAAAAAAAGTCCACGAAAATAGACGAGGAGACGTACAAATTCATAGTTTTGGTTAATATACTGCAATTTTACTAAGTTACTAATTGGTTATACATGGTGTCCCAAAAGTCGGGGAGGAGCCGGAAATGGGGGATAGCTGAGACGATTCTGAACAACAATTTCCTTTGCAAAAATGTCGGATGGCGCTTCGTTAAGGAGATATTAAAAGAAAACCCCGACCAATCAGAGCGCGCGTAGACCGTTGGAGCGGCCGCGGTAGCGAAGGCTACGCGCTAGGCGGCAGCGTCAATGTCCTTCGATGCACGTCAAGTCACTTGTTCGCGTACAAGCGCGGCCCCCAGCGCGTAGCCTTCGCTACCGCGGCCGCTCCAACGGCATCCTTGCGCTCTGATTGGTCAGTGTTTTCCGTTAATATCTCCTTAACGAAGCCCCATCCGATATTTTCCAAAGGAAATTGTTGTTCAGAATCGTCTCAGCTACCCCCCATTTCCGGCTCCTCCCCGACTTTTGGGACACCCTGTAGTTAGGATTAGTTAGTATACGAATACTTCCTATACTCTGGAAATTATTGAATTTCTCTTCGGAAATCTCATGTGAGATGTTCCATAAATTGATATTGTTTATGGGTTTAATTTTTTGTTACATTTCGTGATTATTGGTATGTTGACTATGCTATATCAATGAAAGATATGCTGTATATGCTAGAGCAGGGCTTCTTAAACTATGGGTCGCGAGATTTTAATATAAAATATTTAATATTCTCTTTTATTTATGTTTGTTAAAATATTACGTGGATAGGTAAAATAAGCGACGACTGGTCACATTGCTTTCCAAAAGGTGAATGCCTGTTTATTACATGCTCGCACAAAAGAACAGACAAAAAAGTCTCCTTTGCACGTTTAACATACGTCTCTATAGTGGCGCTTTTGCTTCTATTTAAATTTACTTATATTCCAACACACCTCCTTAAATTTAAATTCCATCACCTTCCTATATATTTCTATATAGTTCCTTTTATATTTACAGTACATTTTTTTCTTACTTTATACATAGTTTAATCTAGATTAACTTTAATAACCTTCTAAATTTTTCGAACTTATTCCTACCTAATGATTTTGTAAAAATATCAGAAATATTGTCATCTGAATTTACCCTTTTAATATCAATTACTCTTTGCACGTAATTTTCATTTACAAAGTGAAAATGTGTTTCTATATACTTAGAATTTTTATTAAAATTACCAAACTTAGCTATACTAATTGTTCCTGTATCATTCTCATATATATTAATCGGTTTATCAAATTTAATTTTAAAATCTTCCAAAATGTCTTTTAAATGTCAATTTCAATTCGCTTACACATTCAGATAAAGCTACGCACTCTGCCGCTGTTGGTGATTTCGTTACACTCCCTTGGTTCCTAGATTTCCAATAAATTGCGTTTCCATACATTCTTATCTTGTATCCTGTTGTAGACTTCCTATCACATTTATCCCCTACCCAGTCAGCATCCACAAAACAATCAAGTGTATCTGCTTTTAAGTTTTTTTCATATGTTAACTTTAAATCTTTAGTGAAAAATAAATATTTCAAAATTCTTAGGGCATATTTGAAATGCGTTTGATCAAAACACTTTTGGAACCTACTTAAATAAGTGACACTGTAGCTCACATCAGGTCGTGTCCCTGAGCTTATGTAAAGAAGTGCTCCTATTAAATTTCTATATTTTAGATCA